ATTCAAAATTTTGTGAATTTAGATTTAGTTATAGTTTGGATTCTTTCGATGAAAGACCATCTGGTCGCCCCGTGGCGCAATGGTTAGAGCGTCTGCTCTAGAGTCGCGAAGTAAGGACTTGATCCTTACATCGTGGGTTCGAATCCCACTGTAGGACGTGGAGACCGGTCCTTCGGATGAGACCGTATAAACCGAGGTCCCGTGTCGCAGTAGGTGCTGGCACGAAAAAGATCCCTCACTGCTCAATGGCCGTAAGTGCCGAGTATAGGACAAAATTTGCAGCTCTCCACCGGCAAGTGGTGGTGTCTCCATATGATTAAAAAAATTCTCGAGAGGGACGTTAAACAAAATACAATCAGTCAATCAATCTGACCCATCTGATGGTATAATCTTCGATAGAATTTGAAATATATATGAAATTTGGTCACCAATTGAAACATTTAGATTTCCTAAATTTTCAACTCTTTAAATGATTGGTGTTAACTATATTTACATCACCAGTAAGAACATAACCAGCAGAGCTATTAAAACAAGAGGCCTATGGGCCACATCACTCACCTGAGCACTTTGGCAAGGGGAAAACAGAAATCAGTTCAGTATTGAAACGTTTAAATATAAATGCGGTTTTTCTTATATATTCCTATGTAAAAACTTTGATCACCCATGGGGAACATGATTTGAACAAACCTAAATCTAAACTACCTGAGGATGCTTCCATATCATGGACATCAGTGAAGAGACATAATTTGTCGAAATGCGCATCTTGTGCATCAAAATAGGAACTGTATATAATTATACATTATGACCCCTGGGTCGAGGCCTCTGCTAGTGGACTGTTAGTCTCCGAAAGTCTCTACAGCCCAGTAGCTAAGTACTTCGGTACTGGCATGAAAATACGGATATATATTAAATTGATGTGGTAAAATTTAGGAATTTATTTCAAAATCAAGAATTATCTCTCGTATGCATAGTTCTGAACCTTCGACATGAAGATGAAAATGTGAAAAGTTTACGTCAACGACAACGACGACAGACAACGGACAAATTTCGATCAGAAAAGCTCACTTGAGCCTTAGGATCAGGTGAGCTAAAAAAGGAAAGAAGAAACTGGAACACGTAATAAATTAACCGGCTAAAAAAGTCATATTTGCTCTATAATGTCGTTAATTATAACCATTTTTTATAATTTTCCTCTGACTTTTGTCCAGATAGAAAAAAAGCACAAAATGAGAGATAAGTGCATGCAACTGTTAATTGTATGCACAGATTTTCGAGTTGGTTGACGAGTTTATGGTCTATCTGCAATGACTATACTTTTTGGCTCCTTTTAATTATCCTTTTAGTTATGCGACTCTCCCTTTTTAATTTAGACAATGCTATTACTTTATGCACCATAAAGAAAGTGTACGTTGAATGTAAGACTCCAGCTTGTTTGTATAATTACTTGTCACAAAACCTCATCATCCTTTATTAGTTTCGCAACAAGTGAACCAGAAGCAAGTAAATATATGCTTAGCTATTAGATTAAGTGTAATTCAGGACTTCTAGCTGTCCCCTCACGAATGCCTCAATATGAGCATTACTACTGATTACAAGGTAATTCCAAGTAAACCAAGTAAAGACGTATAGTCTTTATTCTGAAATTATGAATTTCCCATTAGTCCATTTCCAGTTGTATCAATTTTGCACGTTTAACTTGACTTCGTCAAATATTATAGCTGCTCCTTTTTTTAATGAACAAAATGTTAGAAAAATCTTAATTAGAATGATAAAACGTGCTCCTAACTTGTTCTCCTTGCCACTTAAGTTTGTCCTTTGAAGATCATGATAAACGACTGCTATCTACGTGCATTAATACCTATCTATTACGTCTTTAGAAAAAATGCAAGACATTTATCTGTGAATGTAAAAATTATGAATATTTGAAGATAAACATCAATTTGTCTGGTTTTCCTTGTCAATTTATATATCTTCAAAAACTATTTTTCTTTTCTTTTTTTTAATGCTCGTATCATCATATATCATTATATTATAATAATATAATTTTTTTTTTCATTTCTTTAAACTTGTTATGCCAAAAACCTTGATACAAAAAAATCAAACTGACAATCTTGTTCATCATTTATCAAAAAGAAATCTAATGAATAAATAGATCCGCATTTACAATATTTTTGAAAATATACAAATAGATCTAGGTATGCTACACTATGTTATCTTGTCCTGTCGTTTAAGAACAAGATCATTATCATATAATCTGCTAGGCATATTATACAGAACTGATAGGCAGTATATGTTTTATACACCAACTTTATTTTATAGACTCAACAGCATAAAAAAAATCTTGAATGAATGATTTTTTTTCTCTCCAAAATATTCACAGCTGGGACTGTCTGTTAATATGTATAGGAAAGAAACCTGACTAAAAATTAAGATAAAGTAAAAAAATCAAGGTTCAAAATATATCATGGTGGCGTCTATCGCCGAGAAAAACCTACATAGGAGATAATCAAGAAAAAAAGCCGGTAATTAAAAGCAGAATCAAAATAGGAATGTTAGAAGATTAAAACAAAAATATGCATAATGAAAAAAATATATAAGTACTGACACATCACAGTCATCTTGTCCAAAGCAGTACGGTCATAAACTATTTATCGAACCCTTAAGTACTCCTTATTTTCTGATTTTAATATGTAACATTTATTTACAAATAAATAAGTTTCAACGAAATATGGACATTACGAACAGTAATCCAGCACAAAAGTCCATTGAAACAATACAAACTGGAAGCAGGGCAAATGCAGACCTTTAAAAAAATCAGAGGTGGGATCAGGTACCAGGGAAGAGTAATTATCCCCTGTCGACCAGTCACGCGGGTATGTTAGGGCTACACTCAGAGATATCCTACTTGCCTTTACAATATGACGTCATAGTATGCTGTATGACGTGAACTTTAGAAATAATGATTTCTTAATATCTATATTTAAAGTTTAATTTCAGGCCAAAGAAATGAATGGAATCATTCAAAACATAATATAAACTAAATCTTGTCTTTTTTGGGTAGTATAAATAGCTAAGTATTTAGCACGGGGGTTAAATACCAAGCCCATGACGTCATAACTATTGATCAAATATTTGCCGAGTGAAATAAACGTGACGAGAATTCATGTAAACAAATATTTGAATTGGGAGTTTTAAAGCATATACCGTGAATGTTATATGTGATTCACAAGGAATTGAAGATTAAGAATCAGGTACGCTGATATATTCTTATCATGTATTCTTATAATGAACACAGACAGTGCTTTGAAATCCCGATCAGCCTTTCCTCTGTCGTTCTATTACAAAAGTTCAACACTACGCCGCATACTTTGAAACATAATTTTTGTTAGTATCGAAAGCTTGTATTCTATAGTACTTGGAAAATGCTGCTAGAATCGTGTGGTTAACATGAATTGATAACAATTCCTTGATCGTATGTATAAAATGTAAAAATTTTGGTAAGGTTTCATGCGAAACTTTGGAATATTTATTTCTGTGTCGGGAGAGTAGGATTCTGGCAGCACTTTTCATGGCCCAGTAATGTTTTAACACTAAATGAAATGAATTATCTCCGGGTAGTGTTGAACTTTTCACTTTTTTATTAAGGCAATTTTTCTATTTATAGACGTCACGTAGTGGAGTGCTTCTTTTAGCGTAAGACTCAATGACGTCTATACAATGGATAATAATAGTAAATATTTTATCTAAGGCTTTTCCGATTTATCAATGTTACATTTTACGAAAAAATTCTATATTCGCCGAAATATGATCTGGGTACTGCCTTAACATACCGCGCATGCGCTCCTTGTAGTAATCGGGCAAACAAATAAATCTGTATACGATTTAGTATGTGAATGAGCATTCATGTATATTATATTTAGCCTAGAAAAGCAAAAAAAAAAAAAAAAAAAAAAAAAAAAAAAAAAAAAAAAAAAACAATAAATAAACCCTGTTTTATTGTGATATTTTCATGTGTTTCTCGCATTACATAAGAAAAAAATGAGATAATATTTTGTCTGCCAGTGACATTTAAGAAGAGTTGTTTTAAGTGGAAACGTTCCTTGTTAGATGTGACATACATATCATGTGACATATATATTTTTATAAAACAGTCCAGAGAAACAATTTACGAATGCAAAGAATACATTAGAGAGTAACAAGCAATTTTAAGGTAAATATTTTTGCTATATCAGAAACTTCATTATACTTTTAACACTGAAGCTCATTTTTCATTTTTTTTAAATTGATTTTCCCCCTAAAATTGTTTCTTGGTGTGATCATTTCACGACGTAATATTTCTCTTCACCCTACGCACAATTAGTTGGTTACTTTTTTACGTATTTACAAGATGTATAGTGATGAATTAGATATTCCAGCACAAGATTCAATTCCTTTTCTAAAATTTGATATAAGGAGATATATTTTCAGTGTTTAAGAGTTTTATATATGTCTTTTTTAATTGAGTTTTAGGGTTCTGTAAAAATATCATTGAAAATAATTTATAATACTTGTTGATACTTGTTGAATTTTACACCCCCCCCCCCTTTTTAAGTCAGGTATCCTTTTAAATAATTCAAAATAAACCCAAACACTGTCAGAAATTACAATTGGTTCTTAAATACTGTGGAATCATTTAAATTCGTGGGGTTTAATGTTCGTGGGCAAGCAAAATTTTATTGGTTCGTGGGGATGCAATTTCGTGGGCAGCTCGTTTATTTGGTGGATTTAATTAATTAGTACGTTGACAAAATAATTGTTCGTGGGGATGTAAATTCGTGGGTAAGGGTCACCCACGAAATCCACGAACATTGATCCCCCACGAACAATGATGATTCCACAGTATACAGTTTTCAAAAACATTTTCAGTACATGACTTTATATTCGGACAACCTTTCCCTTCAATTTTTTAATCTGTCAATTTAATAGTTTTTATACTTTTTATATACCTAGATTTTTTTAGATACAGTATGGAAATTGTTTGTTATATTCTGCCCGTGATGATTTGCGCAGTAATTCCTGTGCAGCCCGTATTGATGATAAGAAATGCTGGTAAGATGTACTACATATTTTCAAATTGCTTGTGTATATCGAATGTTCTGATTTTAGTCTTTACTTTAAACTTGCGTGATAATTATTCTAGAAAAGTAAATATGTAACATAAATATGTGTAAAGGAGGAATTATTTTTTTCAAAATGAGCGTAAGTGTAGTTTTTAGTAGTAGAGTTTAACCTGAATTATATGGACTATATGGTACAATTTATTTTCTGACAGACCCTGCACTTTGTCAGACACAAGAGATGCAAGGATTGTGTGCCTTGTCTGGGAAATGGAGAAATCAGCTACAGTCAGAAATGATGATAACCTGTAAAGACGGAACCATACAAGGTCAATATAACAGCGCCGTCGGAAATGCTGAACGAGAGTACGACATCGCAGGGAGGTATCTACAGGTGAACGAGACAGAATATATCGTAGGATGGTCTGTTGCCTATAAAAATCAGTACCGTGATGCTAGATCCATTGCAAGTTGGACCGGAGTATTCTACGCTACTGAAGGTATAATCAAGACTCAGTGGATAAGAGCAGCATTCCAAAACCCAGAAGATTATTGGTCGACTTTTACAACCAATCAGGACATGTTCAATAAGGTTCAATCCCATCCTTGTTTGAACAACATCAGGAACTGAATGCATGCAACATTACGATGTATACATCACTCAGCAAGGAACGATAACGCTTGACATTAGCGATTCCTTTGGCTTACAATCTTCAGAGAAACCTAAGATTTAAAATCAATCTTGTATCAATAATAATCATTTTATGGCCTAAGAAATGAATATTTTTTGTAATAATTTTGAAAACTTGAAAACGCTTTTGTTAAAATTTTGATAAGTGCTGCTCACATTCCTTCACGTTTTGTGAATCGTTTTAACAGGGACCTATATACTAACGGGATAGGCAACTCTCGCAAGTCTCGCGATATCTCGTAAGTTGCGGGATTTCGTAAGTCAATTTTAATTAAATATATCTCTTTTGCAATCAAATATTTCAGAATTAAATCTTAATTTATCTATCAAATAATTATTCAAGATTTGTTATTAGCACTGTCTTTACTCCTTATCTTAGAAGTAATTACGTTTATTTAAAAATCAGTGCGTGCCCCTGATCGGCCATATTTCCGGGAAATCGACAAATTTGGTGGTTGTTTACTGAATATCTAAATTATTTTATAATATGTGCCTTAAAATTTATTAAATATCCATTCCGATACACAAAAAGAACAGATTACATTAATTAGAAAACAAGCTTTTTACTGGGAAAAAACGTAGTTTAAAAAACTTGCAGTGTTGTGTGTGCCGTTTTGGGTAAATAAACATGGCGCTGAAGGAGTTGCCTATCCCGTTAGTATATAGGTCCCCGGTTTTAATATGTCATTTTCTTTCAATGTTAACGTTCATTTAAAGAATATTTGACTGTAAGTGAGTTGCAATACATTGTAAAAGTGCTATAGATGCTTTCTTAAACGTTTAAGCTCGCCTGCACCGAAGGTTCAGTTGAGCTTTTCTGATCAAAGAGTGTCCGGAGCCCGTCTGTTTGTCTGTGTTGATAATTTTTTTTTTTTCATATTTTCGATTTCCTCTCAAGAACCACCGATATCGTCCAAAATTTGCCACAAAGTATCCCTGAGGAAAGGGAAATTAAGTATGTTCACAGGAAATGCTGTGACGGTACATATTGTCGTTATATACCTACCCTCACTGCACATATTGTCGTCCATCGGTACATATTGTCGCCGGCGACAAAATGTACCGAGACGAGCTTTATTTTCCTCCTGCATGATGGACGACAAAATGTGCAGTCAAGCACCAGCACATATTGTCGTCGGCGACAATATGTATAGTCAAGGTCGGCATATATTGTCGTCGATGGATTGTTTTGACGAATATTTACTTGAGAAAAGAAAGAGAGATTGACAAACACACACAAGCACGGAGGGACACAGACAGCATCACTTGCAATTCTGTATTGAGAATACTTTTCGGTCAGTAAATTGTGTCCAGGATTGATGTACATTACTCTGTATTCCGAAATATCTGACGTTATCAAGGCTTTTTTTTAACGATTTTGATATTTTACGTAGCAGGAAAACGTAAAAATATCAAATCCAAAAATAAAAGCCAGGAAAAACGTAAGATATTTCGGACTAAACATTATGATATGTCAAGATACCGTTATTCTTGAGATATCTGATAAATCAGCCAATTCTTTTTTCTTGTAATATATACTTTGAGATTAAATACATCTATAAGATTGTTTTGTTTGTTTGTTTGTTTGTTTGTTTTTTGTTTGTTTGTTTGTTGTTTTTTTTTTTGTTTAGGAGTAATGATTATTTGAAAATTATTTTTTGCGTTATTTTTATATACAATCACGTGCCGATAAAATTGGTTTTGGGGTTGACATTTTCAGATCAGCTTAACTGGAAGTTGAAGTGAGTTTTTCTGATCACATTTTGTCTGTAAACTTTTCACAATTTCAGCTTCTTCTCAAGAAAATCTTCTCAGGTACCACTGTGTCAGAAAAGTTGAAACTTATGTGAAAGCTTTATTTTGAAGTGTAGATTCAGTTTTATTCAGATCATGTCCTTTGGGGGAAGGATGTGGCTACAATAGATGATCAAAGTTTTCAGAATATTCAGAAAAATTCTTTCAATTTTTTTTTTTCAAGAACTACTGGTTCAGAAGAAATGATACTTATACAAAAGCTTCATTACATAGCAGCGTTTAATTTTGAGGTGCTGGCACAAAAAAAGATCCCTCATTGCTCAATGGCCCTGAGTCTAAATGTGTAGCCCTGCGTCGGGAACTTGTGACATCTACATAAAATTGAAAAATTCTCGAGAAAAACATTATAACAACAAACAAACAAACAAAAACAAAATCGATTTTGTTCAAATCATGACCCCAGGGGTAGAGTGGGGCCATAATGGGTAATCAAAGTTTTACATAGGAATATATACAGAAAATCTTTAAAAATCTCAAAAACCAGATTAGATGTTGCATCGGCGGATGGTTTAATTTTTTTTTTTTTTTTTGCTTTGGTAAATTCTGTTTGTTTAACTTGTATATACTCACAATTTATTCCACAGATAAAATTTCATAATAAAATAATTTACTTAAAATACACCTTTACATACAAATAACTTTTTTTTGTTTGTCAAAAAAAATTCTGAACCGCATCCCTCCCCTCCTCCGTTCTGAAATTTCTAGATCCACCCAGGCCCGTAGGAGGCAATTCCAGTTGGGGGGGGGGGGGGGTGCACAGCTGTACATCTTCAGTTCAGGGCACTATCAACTACCAAAATTCTCTGACAAGCAAAACAAAAAAAAGATCATCAGACGTTTTTATTGAGGGGGCACAAGCATACAGTAGCTATGTTTTCTATAGTAATTTATATATCGACAAAATTTTTGGGGGGCACGCCCCCCCCGTGCCCCCCCCCCCCCCCGGTTCCTACGGCCATGCCACCACTGAGGAACAGCAGAACTGTAGGTCCGTCAATAATGATGTTTATATGGAAGCATCCTCAGGTAGCGCAGATTCAAGTGTTGTTTTTTTTTTAATCAAACCGGGCCTAGAATGGAGCCACAATGGGCGATCAAATATTTACATAGAAATATGTCGGAAAATTCTTAAAAAATTATCTTTTCAAAAATAGCAAAGCAATGATTAGTCATATTTATATGGAGCATTGCCGTGCATTGCCATACGACATGTTCTGATGGACGACAATATACGCAGTCAGGGTATGTACACATTGTCGCCGGCGACAATACGAACAGGACGACAAAATATACCATCACAATCACACTGCATGAAATAGCACATGAGACACGTCAGTGTGATTCACACACCAATTACATTCAGAAAACTACCAAACACAACGGAAGAAATCTTTAAGCAACAATATCTGTGGGGCGACAATAAGTACCGTGAGGGTGAGGCACATAATGTCGCCAGCGACAATATGTGCAAGTGTAACTTTTCAGCCGGCGACAATATGTACCGATGGTAGACAATATGTGCAGTGAGGGTAGGTACATATTATCGCCGACGACAATATGTACAAAACGACAATATGTACCGTCACAAATGCCCCGCCGTCTTTCAAGGAGATATGATTAAGAATTCGTAAAATCCTAGTGGCATCTTATAAAAATATCTTCTCAAGTACCTCTGAGCCAGAAAAGCTAAAACTTATTTGAGAGCTTCATTACATAATTTAGATAAAGTTTTTTTTTCATATTATGACCCCAAGGGAGTGGAGCGGAGTCAAAAGGGGTCAAAGTTTTACATAGTAATATATAAGAATACCTTTAAAATGCCTTATTTTGTCATATTAATACATGTACAGAAGCATCCTCGGGTTGTGCACATGTATGATGACCCTTTGGGTAGGGTGGGGCCACAACAGGGGATCAAAGTTATACATAGGATTATATAGGAAATGTTTGTAAAAACCTTCTCAAGAACAGCAAAGCCATGATTAGTCATATTCATACTGCATCATCCACAGGTACTGTAGATTAAAGTTTGTTCAAATCAAGACTCCGACGGTAGGGTGGGGAAGAGTAGGAGATAAAAGTTAAACATAGGAATATGTAGGAGAAGTATTTTTTTTATTTTGTTAAAACGATCTTTTTTCCCTACGAACTACAAAGCCATGTTTTATTTGAAAGCATCTGCAGGTAGTTTAAATTCAAGTTTGTTCAAATCATGACCCCTGGGGGTAGGTTGGGGCCACGATGAGTAATCAAAATTTTTACATAGGGATACAAAAGAAAGAACTTTAAAAGTCTTCTTCTCAAGAAAAGCATGATTATTCATATTTCTTTGGAGGCGCTCTCAGATATTGTAGATTATAAAAAAAAAATTGTTTGACCCATGCATTTCCGTACCTAACATGTATTTATTCTAATTCCTACCATAACCCTGTTTGCAGAGATAAAATTTGGTAAAAAAAATCCAATTGCAAGATATTGTATTCTGCTTGTAAACACTTAACAGTATAATGTATAGAACACTACAAATAAAAAGTATTACACATTCTTTTGTTGTCAAATATTAGATTGTTAAATCATCTCACAGCTTCTTTTTCTGTACAAATTGATATTTTAAATTACATTCGCGATGAAATCAGTTTTCTTCCTACGTTCAACCCTGAAATTCTACAACAATATTTTCAAGATCTTAAAATCAACTGCAGAGATTCCGCCTTTTTGAAGGTGTAGTGATAAGTAATTATATTTTCTTTACTTTTAAATTACTTACTTATCTGAAGTACTTAACGGATCCTAGGATTTATCAAAAGATGGAAAACAAATTAAGCTCGAATATTCTATTTTAAATCTAAATTTTTTCAGGTAACTTGAAATTTTATATAACGGTTTTTTATTTCGAATATTTTCTATTTCTCCATACTTGAGTAGAGAAATCTGACTTAATGGGTTTTATTCTTACAATATTAAACCTAGCTACAATATCTACATAGTGTGAAAACATTTTTTCTACATATTATGTACTTATATATAAAATATTTTAGCGTTTAAAATGTTTAACACATACTGCACTAGGATCACGGCCTATCTTTCCTGTACAAGTTAGTTGTAAAGCTGTTCCCACTTCAAACTGTCTTTCATTTGTGTCAAATTGTTCTCCAAGTATCCTCACCCTGGGTATCTCGATTATATTTGGCTGAACTGTAACAAGAAATAACATCTAATTCTTGCAATCGATGTAATTCAAAAGCCTTTATATTTTTAGCTATTCGATTGTATATTTGGATATTTTCATATCCTTCTGAATATGCCTTGATGTAGGGAAAATAAAAGTAGTAAAATGATGAATGACACAGAATTCTGAAATCGTCAGCATTCACAAGTGCAATATAATATTTTAAAAGAAAAAAAACTTTTTGATACAGCTTCGTTAATGATATGTTTATGTTTGTTGACAAAACAAATTGTATCAATGGTAATGTTGCAATTTCAGCAATGATAATTCTTGTTTGAAGTCAGTTCACTTCTTGTGTTATTTACATGCATTTAACACAAGCTTATCTGCCTGTTTACAAACCTCTATAATCAATCTTTACTGGATCTGATTCTTGTTCAGGGATCATATCTGAAGTACTATCTAAGCCACTCATTTTACACCTGTATTCTTTAAAATCATCTGGACATCTCACGTTTTCTTTTGTAAAAGGTAATCTGAGTTCCGCTGCAGAAGGTGGTTTAAGAGATTCTGTTGCTGTTGTAAAGTTAAGTCTCGATACGTTATCTCTTCTTGAAAATTGTTTGAATTCAGAGTAATATAAACCACATTTTCGAAAAAGATGGAAGTTCCTCTGCAGTTGTATAAAATACAATGTCTTGACCTTTGATGGATTGTTTAAGGAGCAGACTATAGTCAGGTCAACCTCTTCAATGTCTACTGTCTGTGGTACAACCTGAATCTGTAGGTTCTGCGATGATGCTAAAAAATACATACGAGACAAATGGGCCTTGAGATTCACCTGAGTAATTGATTCTTTCCTGAAGCAAACATCGCTCACCTTAAATTAGGACTCAAGATTTATATAAAGTAAAATAAACCTTGCTAAGAACTTTATCATCATTATTTTATTCATGCAAGCATGAATATGATAATTTCTGTTAAAGATAAGTATAGATTGATATAAGGAGATAGTGTATGGCATGTAGGTTCAAAAGTAAATTCAAACAATACAAAACGGGCATAGAGTTTGCATAGACCTCTAAAACATCAGAGGTGGGATCAGGTGCCTTGGAGCATCGATATCCCTTGCTGACAGGCCATACTCGCCTTCAAATCAAGAAAAAAAATACTCCTAATTTAAGCTTATAATTGGCACTATTTTTAGTAATATCTAAAAATTAATATCACAGACCCCCGCATTTAATTTTCTTTTCTGAATATATAAAATACATTTAATCATTCTTCTTCAATTCAGTAAAATGGCATTACTTTCAAATGATATTTTGGCTTGTTAAATTTTTAATTCCAGAAAAATGAAATTTTTTGAGTGCAAAAAGGTCAAAGAATTGAACATGCGGAGTAATTTGGAAAAATTTACGTTGTCAGAAATTTAATGTGTCTATTAAAGATGAAATGAGACTGTGTTTGTTCCCATAATTTATTTGAATAAAAAATATTGGAGGAAAAACTTTAAAAAATTGACTTATGTATAAGACGTATTTACAGTGCAAAAAGGTCAAACTAAATGCTCTGTAGCGCCAAAAGAAGCGCATTGACCCCCATATTTTTGTTTTGATTTTTAATTAAGCTATGTAAATAAATTCTAAAAATATACTTGATAAAAAAAATTCTCATTACTTTTGATGGCAGGATCCAACCTCCTTAATCTGTACGAAGAAAAAACTTATTTGTCCATCCAAATATCTTTTTCGTCCAAACAAAATCCATTACAGTAAAACACGCTTATAGTGAACACGCCTATAATGAATTGTCGCTTATACCGAAGTGATTTTCATTCCTCATGACTTTAAAATTTATTGTTAACTTAACGGATAAAGCGAAATACGCTTATAACGAAACATAATTGCCCATCCTTGGTACTTCGTTATACGCGTGTTTTACTGTACCTAATTTGCTTTATTTTCCCAAACAATGATATTTTTTTTTTCTGGGCTTTAACAGCACAATACTATTTATATTCCGTATTTATAAAAGTTATGGCCTTCGTGGATTCTTAGAAATTTGTCAAAGTTATTAAGATTCTAAATTTACAAAGTGTATAACCTTGCAAAATATAAAAAAAAAAGAAGAAAAAAATAAAGGTATTTGCTTTCAAGGTCATTATAATGACCCAGGAATTTTCGAAATGCTGACTTTGATTGAGACTGTTGAAAGCCCTGATGCATCAACTTATTTGTCAGTATCCTGCTTTTTCAAAGTATATTGTATACAGAGCATGCTCTATCGTTCCGAATAAGTTTTGAGACTTACACACTCTACGCTGGTGATTGTAGAATTTCATTACATAAATACATGAAAGAAGTGATCGATTCGGAGGTGATCCCGTTTGTCAATACTAGTAGTTTAGTTGGTAACTGGCAATAAACGTTTATAATTAGTAAAATATCAGAATATGAAACGGATAAGAAAGAAAAATTAAGATAACAATTTGATCCAGTATGCACTGTTACCTACCTATTGTATGACTTTTGTTCTGTGCTGAAAACTCAATAGGTATATAAAATATTATATCTGAAGATAAGGACCAGTTATCAAGCTCAAATGTTCATTGAAACGTTATAAAGAATACAAAGAAGCAAACACGGACCTTTAAAAAATCATCAGAGGTGGGATCAGGTGCCATGGAGGAGTAGGCATCCTTTGCCGACCGGTCACACCCACTGTTGCTCACTGGCATGATTGGGCAAACGGAAAATCCGTAGACAATTCAGTGTGAAAATAAAAGCCTAACAGTTTGAATGAAAAAAGACTGTTGCAATCACTATTGAAATAACAACTATTACTGAAATAATTATTTCAATAGTGGTTGAAAGTGCACTAAAAAAAAAAAAAACAACAACAACACCATATTATATCCACTATTGAAATAACGAGCACAACTGAAATAAAATGTAATTTTTTTCAATAGTGGTTGTGAGAACATTTCAAAAACAATATCAGATTGTGATTATTTCAATGAAGAATTATATTTTAAAGTGGTTGCAACGTGGTTTTGAAATGCATTCTTAGTCACTATGAAATTATATATAATAACTTAAAAAGTGAACGTATTTAAATAGTGGTTGCAACCTGAGTTTGGTTTTGAATGCATTCTTATCCACTATAGAAATAATGATATCAAAAATGGTCGATGTTTCGATTGTGGTTGCAACAAACGTCAGTCAACATTCGACCTAACGATAGATTGTTTTTGCTAACAAGGTCATTGTATCGACCATAAAATTTGCGAATTTCTAATAAAAAGAGACTGTTGTATTATCTACTTGTTTGTCAGTAACTTGCTTCGTTTTAGAAATTGTTCTTAAATAGAACATGCTCTTACATATCGAATCAACTGGGGGACATAAACTCCATATGCAGGTGATAATGGTATTGCTACATAAATAGGGAAGAGTACGAAAGAAATATTGAAGTCTTCACGTTTATAATATTTTTGTTAGTTTGCCATTAGTGTCTTCCTCTAGTAAAATATCCAAATAGCTATAATAGATCTAAACACATGTTACGCTCTTATATTACCTTTAATTGCGTGTTATTCCAGTGTTCGTCGGAAAAACACAAGAGAATTTAAGGCTGAAAACCAAACCTTGTATCACTCTAGCTGTTGAGATGGGGGTTCATTATTCAGTGGGAGTCATTTTTTATAGGTTGCACGTGTAGAAAATTAACCCCTAGGGCTCTTTTTCTACAACAAATTACATGGAGGTCATTTTTCAACGTCGAAAAATGACCCTTGGTCATTTTTGTAAGGGGGTCATTATTCGTCTTTACACCGAGACTTCATTTTATCGTGGACAGATAGAGTATCATTATACTGAGTCATTACTTTTTCTTTTTACTTAAATAGGAAATTAACTTCACGAGGACAAAGAAAAAATTAAACTGAAGACAGAAAAAAATACATCATTAAGAATGCAGACTTTAAATAATGTACTTACCAAAACGATACACAGAAATCTGAAGATAACATGAAAAAACACAGCAAATAAAAGACCGTGATATGTGCATTGTCCTAGCCATTATCCCTTTAAACGTCCTTGTTTTACATAGGTGTGGTGTGCATCGTATAACAAGGTTTTTTTTTTTTTTTTTTTTTTCAGTACACATGAGTACACACACGTTCGAATTACGAGCAGGTACAATGGGCTTGTTTTACATTGACCTTTACCTGAATCCACCTTATTCTGAGATGAATCGATATTATAACTGTTTTTAAAATCATATTTTGTATTGTATACAGAAGAGAGAGCTTTTATTATATCTTGTAAATAAGAGAATAAAAATAAATTAAATGTGATATAACCACACTTATTCTTCAGTTTTGATCGATATTTTATAGTCCAATAAGATTGAAAATGAATACACCTTATATATAGACACACTTGTACAGTAATGTACTTGGATGACAGAGCCCGTTGTAAATCTCAAAAATTCAACTTTCTTGCTTCCCCCATAAATGCATATTACGTCAATGTAGAAAGTAAATCGTTATAGGCGGCTAAATTTACATAATTCTGTTATAAGGAAGTTTCTCTGCACTTCATTTATTACTACATAAACCTTTCTTATTTTGTAATTAATATCATTCTGTGGAATAACTTTTAGTGATAATAGTATAGTTTGCACTGGTGGAATGAAAACGCCCATCGAAATTTAAAATGTAAAAACACTAAACAGTTCTTCAGCCACGCAATCAAACCCAGCGATCATATCACAAAAATGTAAACCTTATGAACATCTTATTTTTACAGTTCTCTCGTATTCTCAGGTGAAAGTCTGAGTTTTTGTTCAAGAGCAACAGGCTAACAGTTGTGCATTTTCAAACGTAACAAAATCCTTATTTTTTTCCTAATGTAAAAAAAATATATCAAAAAGTACTTAAATATAATTTCAAGAAAATCAAATACTTTTTCAGTACAAAAGTTATGAATTGGTGAATGAAACTGTTCATCCCAACCAATTGTTGCCGAGCGGAGAACATGAACATTTGATGGAAGGTGCATACAGCGCTACTTTTCAGGAAAGTAATTTCAGCTAGAAACGTATTACAACAAATTGTTTTAAGCACATATTCTCGGTTTATATTTATGCACATATGCATAATTTGATGCATAAAATTTCTGGTCAAGAGCATTCTTCTGGGAAAATTCAAGAAAAAGAGCTAGAAGATTTTCGGGTCAAAATATCTCTCATTCTTGACAGTAGCGTACAGTTTTAAACAAGTAGCTCATAGGCCACATCACTCACCTGAGTCACAACGCCCCTGTAATTCATCATCAGCAAAGGACAAGGTATGGTAACGGCCGACTCTGGCCCCTTATTTGAAGAAAAATTCAGAACACAGTGAAATTTGTGATAGTTTGTAGTTAAGAACTTAAAATTATGCTTGTATTAAAACCAATAATAATTTTGATTCAAAGCTTACACAGAGGCAACAAGAGGGCGCGGAAGTGAGATATTTTCTCGAATCCTCAATTCTAGTGGAATGTCGTCAAATTTGAGATACTTTTCACTTCGGGAAACACAGAGCACAAGCTTGCCTATCTGAGATTTGATTCACAAGATGCATCTGATACTAGCGTATGAAATATATAAATTTGGTAGATAGACTACCTTGTGCTCTATGATTTCTAAAATAAATTGTACCATAAAATCGATGAAAAATTGCATATAAATGATAAAATTCGGAATTTGACATATTTTTTGATCTTCCTGTGACCTCCCATAACTTAGAACCAATACTCATTTTGT